ATGCCTACATGTGTGCCTTAGCTCTTGCCAGAATGGGAAGTTGCATCTCCTTGATGTCGGTGAAGGGGCACAGACTACCGAGGATTGACAGCTTACTAGAGTTTTGTCAGGAAGCTGAGCGTATCCTCAAAAGGGGTCGCTAATAGTATACGCTTGCTAACAGTTAGAGTCTTGACAAGTATAAGATGAGGCTCATTCTCAACAACTCGAGGCTTTTCAGAGATCAAGACAAACTTTGTGGGTACCCTGTCTGCTTCTTGTTCTCTTATATCCCCTCATTCGAGATTCAAACGCAATGATGCACATATTTTCCTCCTTGTCGTTGCTTGTTGGGAGTCTGATATCGTCAACTCTTGTTCAAGCTGCTCCACCATCCCTCGATTCACGAACTTCGACATGCAATACGCCTTCTAATCGTGCCTGTTGGACTTCGACTTTTAACATCAATACGGATTATGAAACCAGTATTCCTCTCACTGGGATCACGAGACCTGTAGGCCTCACACATATACCTAGATTATTGACCATAACTAATAGTCTGATATTTAAGTACACCTTGGTCATCACTGAGGTTGACAGTTGGCTTGGCCCTGATGGCGTTGTCAAAGAGAAGGTAATGCTTATAAATAGTAAGATTTAACCCAGGAAGGAAAGTTTAGCAATGACACTGACTTCTATGTAGATACAATTTTGGGTATGGCCAGAACAGCAGTCTTTATATGCGGACGGTGCTAAGTAGGTGGACTAGGTCCGACTCTCTACGCAGATTGGGGCGATAGAATTAACGTGACTGTGATCAACAACCTGCGTACTAATGGGTAAGTTTATGTCTACCCAGATGTTAGCTCTTATGACCATCGACTAAACCCTAGCTATAGTACAAGCATTCACTGGCGTGAGTTACTAGTTCTCATGCCCTTCATCATAAGCGAGGAAGCCAGCATAGACCACACTAAGCGTTCATCCTTTTCCGAGCATAGCTAATTATTAACTGCTTAATAGATGGCATTCGTCAGCATAATAGCAACCTTCACGATGGAGTCAACGGAGTGACAGAATGTCCAATTCCACCCAAGGGCGGACGCAAGACGTATTCTTTCATCGCAGAACAGTACGGCACCACCTGGTATCATAGCCACTTCTCAGCGCAATATGGAAATGGTGTAGTTGGCCCCATCGTCATCAATGGCCCAGCATCCTTGCCATATGATATTGACCTAGGGCCATTTCCTATCACTGATTACTATTATAAAACTGCTGATGAACTCGTCGAGTTCACCAAGATCAATGGTCCTCCAGCAAGTGACAACGTCCTGTTCAATGGGACAAATGTCCATCCTGTGACAGGAGCTGGAAAGTACGCAGTTGTGAATCTGACTCCAGGCAAACGTCATCGCCTCCGAATTATCAACACGTCTGTGGAGAATCACTTCCAAGTGTATGTCATACTCGAAGTGCCTGTTCATCTTCCCTTCGCTAACTGTGAATATCAAGGTCGCTGGTGAATCATTCAATGACCGTCATTGCCAATGATCTTGTTCCGGTAAATGCCTTCACTACCGATAGCCTCTTTGTCGGGGTTGGCCAGCGCTTCGATGTGACAATCGATGCCAGCAAAGCAGTTGGCAATTACTGGTTCAATGTCACCTTTGGTGGTAGTAATCTCTGTGGAAACTCGGTGAACCCCACCCCAGCAGCCATCTTCCGCTACGCAGGTGCACCCAACAGTAACCCAACAGATCGTGGCATCGCGCCAACTGATAAACAATGCTTGGACAACCTAAACTTCACCCCGGTCGTCACAAGAAGTGCCTCTACCTCAGGGTTCACTCCTAATTCAGATGATACATTGCCAGTTACCCTCGAAACAGTTGGCACTAATGCCGTCTTTGTTTGGAAGGTCAACGGCTCCGCGATCAATGTCGACTGGAACAAACCTGTTGCTGAGTATGTCATGGAAGGTAACAATTCATATCCAACCAGCGAGAACCTCATCAGCGTGAATACTGCAAATCAGGTAAGAAAAAATGCATCGTTAAGGGCTAATGCCAAAACTAAGAAGTAAAATTAGTGGGTTTACTGGCTGATCGAAAATGATCCGAATGGTGCCTTCAGCCTGCCTCATCCAATCCATCTTCATGTAAGAGGATTCCCTTTCAATTAGTTGCAGTTTCATCTAATGTTTCTAATAGGGGCACGACTTCCTGGTACTCGGACGTTCTCCGGACACTGATCCGGTAGCTCAAGTGCGCTACATTTTTGACCCTGCCACCGACATTCCACGCTTGAAGGGCACCAATCCTGTCCGGCGGGATGTTACCATGCTTCCCGCCAAGGGCTGGCTTCTCCTTGCCTTCAAAACAGATAATCCGGGCGCGTGGCTTATGCATTGCCACATTGCTTGGCATGTGTCGGGTGGACTTAGTGTGGACTTTCTCGAACGAGTGACTGACTATCGCGGCAGCATGTCGGCGGCTGACAAGGCAGCTTTCAACAGCAATTGTGCTGCATGGAGAGCTTATTTCCCCAGCCTAGATCCATATCCTAAGAGCGATTCAGGCATTTAATACCAAGTTGTGGGGTGTTAGTTGGGAACTCTGGTATAATCGCAGGGATCCTTGGTGAGGGTGTTTTTGGGATGAACGTGGCTATCCAATTACATTCTAGCTGTACTAGTAGCCTTCGCTATTTGTTGTTGAAATCTACTTGAATCGTTCGTGCGGTTTTATCAGAAGCATGCCATGACTGATATATCTAGCGGCATAGATGTCTGTCAGCGTGTCGAGCAGAGTCTGGACTCAAATGCGTGGCATGTGCTCAACATATGTTTCCATGCCCGCAAAGATTTGTCCTATACTAAAGTAGAAAGCTGCATTATTATTCTGTTGGGTATACGAACTAGCATGACACTCTGCGAGCCCCGTCTGGAATTCTCTAATTGGTGAGTCATATGGCAAGATTGGATTTCTAATCTGAATATCGGAACTGGCGTCATGGGAGAACTCCTTACCTTTAGGGAGTTTCGGATCGTGACGCAACCATTTAAAGGCGACAAAAGCCCCCCAAGATTGGGATAAGGGCGTTTGAGCATTTTGCGTTATTTCAAAGCATCTGTCTCCTCCAATTGTGAGCTGCCATAGCTTTCCATGGACAGGACCAGCTGGTTAAGTCCAGAACTCCATACCAATCGGAGCAACTCACGGAGCGGAGCTGTTGGTCGGCCCCACAATCGAAGCCGGGATGCCGGCCTGAAATTAACCATTCGGCCGAATCTCGAACGTGCGTGGATGGCTTGGAGCAGTCTACAATAGATATAAAAGTTCTAGTAGATCTGTTTCTCTCAAGAGAATCCACTTACCATTTCATGCGCTGAATTATTAGAAACGTTCGAAGCAATGGCACCCCCTAAATTCAAAAAGGTTCTTGTTACCGGCGCGAATGGCTACATAGGCAACGCAGTTGCTCGAGCATTCGTTCGAGCTGGTTGGCTTACATACGGCTTGATTCGATCTACTTCAGCCGCTGGCGTGCTAGAACAAGAAGAAATTACACCAGTCGTCGGCAGCATCGATGATATCGACTCTCATAAAGAAATCAAGAGTCAACTTCCGCAAACACTTGACGCAATCATCTCAACGACAGAAGATTTTATAAATTACATCCCTCATTATGAGAACACGGTCAAGCTAATCCGTGCATTATCATTAACAAGTGCGGCGAACGGTATTCGCACATTGCTGATATTCACTTCTGGTTGCAAAGACTACGGGATCGGTCCGCATTATGACGGAGCCGCAGGTCTAGCTCCTCATACAGAAGAGAGTCCTGTCAACGCGCCGGGCTTTGTTGCCGACCGTGCCAGGCTCGCTATCAAGATACTGGATCACAAAGACGCATTCGCGCCTGTGTTGGTGCGTCCGACCAACGTTTATGGGCGTTCATCGAGCTACTATCGGGTCTTCTTCGACGTGGCAGCAGCAACTGCGGCGGCAAAGCAGCCACTACTCGTTACCTCACCAGGCAATACCATCACTCATGCCTTACATGTCGACGATTGCGCTGACGCTTACGTTGCTCTTGCAGAACATGCAAGACGAGAAGAAATAGAGGGCGGGGTTTTTAACATGTCTTCGCGACGTTATGAGACCTTGGACGAACTCGCCAAGTCCCTAGTAGCCGAGTTTAATATTATGGGGGGCATAAAGTATATCAGCGAGACAGACTTGAACGGTCCATCGCCGTGGCCAAGACACTTCATAGACTTTCCACAGTGGACGAGTTCTGAGAAGATACGCAAGGTCACGGGCTGGAGCGACCGCCGGCCCTTATTCACTGAGGCACTCCATGTCTACCGGATGGCCCATGATGCAGCTCAAAGTTCGGGAAATGAAAATATTAAGAAGGTTAAGGCAATCACACAGTTGATGTTTGCCAGCTCTCAGACTTAATACCTTTGAAAACAACTTACACAAATTTCAAGCTTGGGACGGCCGGCTGGGGATTTGAGATTTCATGGGCTGCTGTGATAGGGGATGGGCTGAGCCCCTAAGGTTCACGTTCAACAAACAGGAGCTGTGCTATAAGCTTCAAGCAATGGTCAAGGGATCTGTCAAGATATTAGTATTGCTACATCTAAATTAAAATGCGATATGAAAGCAAGCATGGTGCCCTCGTCGTCTAAAGGCTGAGATTTAGTTGAGTGATGCCTTGAGATAGCCAATACCTACCTAGGTATCGTACCTGCCTATTTCGAAAGCCAGCACACAAGTTCCGCAGGACAATGGGGGCCAACAAAAACCACCCGCACTAAGAGCCCTGTTTTCGTCTACTGTAGCGACCTACTCACTCACTCACTCGCCCGTCCACCAACAAGCAGACGCGTCTTTTGTAGTCGATCATCGTGAAAAAAAGGGCACTTCGCATAAGAAAATCACAATAAACCGGTTGACTGACTGACTACTGACGACGACAACGACGACGACAACGACGACAGCTTCACGATGGTGGACTTCCCTCCCGAGGTGTGGCATTGCGTATGCTCCCATCTCACCGCGCATGAGGCCCGCCAGGTGCGTCTGGTCTGTCGCTTGATCAACAAGATCGCACTCTGCCACTCCTTTCCCAAGATAACCTTCTATCTCCACCAGGAAGACCTTGCCTTTTTGCAGAAGATTGCCAACTCTCCCATTTTGGCCAGGAATGTCAAGCAGCTTACATACATCTCAAACCTCATGAACACCGATATGATTCTAGACGACTTTGTTCAGGCACGCAGGCAGGCCGAGAAGATGGACAAGGAATATGCGATGATGCGGAAGACACTGTATGTCTCGAAGCGTCTCACAAAATCAGAGCTCGCCGTCTGCTACTACAAAAACTACATTCCGACAGTGAACCAACAGGAAGAGGCACTGGCCAAGTTCCTAGACTTCGAATGTCTGGCAAAAGCACTACCCAGCTTCAAGAGTCTGGAGGAGGTCACAATGTCAGGTGGTATAACTTATTGTGCAGGCCGCGATACAAAAACTCCCTTTGCCAACTGTCTTGTTGAACTCTCAAAGCATCTCAAACCTGATGGTTGTAGACACTTAGAGGCTCTGATCCACGGCTTACAGGGTCTCGACCATAAGCTGCAGCGTCTGAATGCAGGCGTTATCAGTTGGGAGTTTTTCGACAGAAACCCAATCGAGTTCAAACAACTCCTGAATGTTTGCTGCAACCTTTCAAGCCTCAAACTTGAGATCGACACAGGCTTAATCGACACAGGCCACGATGACGACAGGATCCTGGGGTCCGAGGTTCCCGACTGCCGCGTCGTCATGAAGAAGGGATTGCTGCGTTACTTCTTAGCCGCCTTGCCTCGTCTTCAAGTGCTCTCTATCTTGTTCACCTTCCGCAATGAGAAGTTCGATCTCTATCCTGCTGGCCTCGAAGATGTTCTGGACCCCGGCCACAAATGGGTGGACTTGAAAGAGCTGAACCTTCAGAACATCGAGTGCACGAGACAAGAATTGATGGCTACCCTCACCTTGCACAAAGACACTCTTCGAACACTGAGTTTGAACAGCATCTCACTCAAGAATACCTCGTGGCTCAAGCTTCTACCCGACCTCCGCAACAACTTGGATCTTGAGGAAGCCATGGTGGACGAGATATTCGGTGGCTCAGAGCTGTACCATGGAGTTCCCGAATACTGGTCCCTCTCCGGTCCCCGGTCTGATCCTGCAGAGGATGATCTCCGATACGAGCTTGTGAGATATCTTGTGAAGTCGACAGATGAGCTCCCACTATCTCACAGTAACATGGGACCCTAAGGCTTGGGCCGTTTGGCATCAACGCGGGCTTATAAACGAAGCGGCGGTTGTCTTGCCGGACCCTTCAACATACAACCATTGACCTACCTAGGGAGCCCTGGCAATTTGTGGGGTTGCTACCAGATTATTGTTCACTTGACCTTACGAGACGACGTCACGTGGTGAGAAAGCTCGACAAGCCTTCGTCGCCAACGAATCCACATGATAGATGTTCCGCATCGGCTTGATTTGTTTAGGGAATGTGGATGGTTACGTTATTGTACGATATAAATGCCGAAATGACGACGCAAGAAAGGACTTGGCTCCCCGCTTTACCAGCATGTCTTCGAGGAGAGATTCAGCTGAGTAAAGTGCATTGCTACGACTGTGGGATAGCAGATTCAGGGCAAAACTAGAGGGCAAGGACAGTGACACTTGCCTGTCAATGGGCGGACAGTGGAATCAGATTGGATTATGTACGACTAAGGAGGACTTCACGAATCCACGAATCCTAGGCAGCATTCGATGGTCTGTTGACAAGCTATGACACGAATAATGACTAATAATTCTCTCAATTCTCTCCCTGTTCTCTTGACCTGCTAAGCTTGCTAGGCAATGATGTCACTTCTCAACAGCGAACAATGGTGCCTGCCTTGAAAATGATTCTAGTCACAATACTTTAGGTTATCAACCCTACATTATTACTGCTTGATCTAGTTTCCACACTCGTATGTTTGGTCCATCAGTTTCAGCTCCAAGTAGCTTAATTTTCTACTGGGTAGAGTTTTTACAAGGATATTTAATGGGCTGTTGAATAAACATTTGCGCGACGGTACTGCAAAATGATCAGATCTCGTTTTTGCAGCTCCCTTCCCACTCACGTCGGTAATCTGTTTTTCGACATGTACTGTACCATGTTCGTGGTGTTTCAAGATGTAAGTAAAGATATTTCGAGACCTTGTCAAGTCGCGTCTCTCATGCCGGCAAACCGAGGATCTTTAGAGTCACCAGATCTCTAAAGAATATCATCACTCATCAGAGTTGCACTTTGTACAAAACTCAAATATATTTTCGCTCGTTTAGAACAATGACGAACTGCAACTTAGCAACAATGAATTCGCTCAACAATGACTCATGTCACAATCTTACTTCATAATATTCTTTAGTTGGTTCGGCACAATCTCTTTTGGGTTTTCAAGTCTGACCTCTGCAAGTTTGTTGACAGTCAACACATAACTGAGCTCGGAAAATAACCTGTTGCTCGTACTTCAGACCCTTTGGACAATTGAGCTTAGTGATGACCGTCGTGTATGCTTCTCCTTGCTCACCACCCATCGAATCGAACATGATTCGAGCTCCATTCTTGTCAGGGTTGATGAAATCACTGAGGTCGGCGCTTGCAAGAAACTCAGCACATGGCATCGTCGAATTGTACCATCTTTCTGCTTCAAGGAAATGACCAGCCATCTTGTCTTTCGCAATCCGTTGTGGGCAAGTAGTTTTTTCACATCGACAACGAAACACATACTTTTTTGCTGTACACATGATGATTTTTGAGTCAATATGTCACGGTCCTTCTGCCTGTCTGCTGTGATTAACAACGACTTTGCCTTCAGAAATTAGCGGGATCTAAGCCTCATATTTGTACTTGATTGCTTCAACAAGATATCGTCACAGAAGTGCTAAACACGCAATCATTACAATTTGTAACAGTTCGTCACACGGTTTGACACTGAACAAGGACATTATTAGGACTCAAAGTTGGGTCATAATCAGCATTCTTTGACAGCCTAAATACGTGTGAATCATTGCGTGTCACACAAACTCGTTCAAATTCCATCTCCAAACAGAGCAGTATACCTCGTGATGGTTGTTAATACTAGCGGCCCTGCGTGTTCTGTCATCTTGTACACCCTAGGCCAAGCATACTGATATGTTATCTGATCAAGACCCCAAGTGACTTCTTCGTACTCATGGACAGAAAACAGACATGCCGACTAAGCAAAGGCGCATTTGGGAATAAGTAGGAAGTGGAGTTTGTATTTCAGAAGAATATGTTGGCTAGCATAGCCTCTGCGTGGTAATACGATTGATGGTTTGGATTGAAGCTGGTGGAATTATACTCCACACTAAACAGACCCTTGAACTACATTACTTGATAGAGCCTCACATCATCCAGCCAAAACGTACCGCCCGTTTCTTGGTTTGTAGTTGGGCACGAGATTGCGACTTCCAATTTTGATGTAGCTGTCAGCCTGAAAGGGTCCGTCACTACCTCTTCCCAGCTGCCCTCCTGTCCCGCTTGCATCTTCTTTTCGTTGTAGTCCGGCGCTGTTAGCTCCAGGGCACAGCCATCGCTCTTAATTGACTTGACGTGAAACTTCGCGACCCATTGCGCGTCATACGACTTTAGTGCAAGGCTCCCCATGATCAGGGAATAGCTGCTTTGAGGGCCTTCCGATCCACTAAAGTCAATCTTACGAGCATACTGATGTCCGCCATGGCCGGGCGAAGAGAACTCCGCCACTTTGTCTGCGTCTGACAAGCTCTCGTAAACAATGGCATTGTATCCAGGCAGCGGCCACGTTCCCTCATGAATGTCAGCAATCACGACAGGATGTGTATCTAAGAAGACTCGGCTAGCATCAGAGCCAGATCCTTGAGATTTAAGCATCGGCTCTGGGGTAGGCGCGTGCGCCAAATTGAAAGCGACAGGATTGGCAGCCGTGGTGGTACTGCTGGTAGTGGTAGATGTCGTTGATGTGGACGTTGAGCTTGAGGTTGAGGTTGTGCCTATCTATTGTCAATGAAAGAAATTGCAAGAGACAGCGCGATACTCACTTGTGCTGGTAGTTGTGGTTGTTGAGCCTAATACCTTAATTAGTCAAGGGTAAAGTTTACTCGAGCCGCATACTCACTTGAACTTGAACTCGAGCTTGATGTTGAAGTTGAAGTAGTAGACACTAAGAGCCAATTAGCGAAATTCAAATAAACTGCCAAAGAGAAACCACAGAAAGCAAATAAGCAGAATAGTTTAAAATGTGAGAAAAGCCCACTGACCAGAACTAGTACTGGTGCTGGTGCTTGTTGTACTAGTACTCGTACTTGTGCTTGAAGAACTTGAAGAAGTAGAAGTGCTGGAAGAAGTAGAAGTACTTGAAGAGGTACTGGTGCTTGTGCTTGTGCTAGTGCTAGTACTTGAAGAGCTTGAAGTGCTTGAGGAACTGGTAGTACTAGTGGTTGATGTGCTCGATGTGCTAGTACTTGATGTGCTTGTACTTGTACTTGTACTTGTCTCCGTGCTTGTACTTGAAGTGCTGCTGCTGGTGGTTGTGCTCGTACTCGAACTGCTAGTACTAGTCTCTGTGGTTGTGCTGGTACTTGAAGTACTAGTTTCTGTGCTAGATGTACTCGAGCTTGAGGTGCTTGTGCTTGAGGTGCTTGTGCTTGAGGTGGTAATTGTGCTTGAACTCAAACTAGAGCTCGTGCTGGTGCTCGCTGTTCACGCTTTGTTAAACGGCGTAGAGTCTGGGAGATACGGAGCTAACTCACTTGTGCTAGTTTCCGATGTCGTTGACGAGAGCAGCAGGGTTGATTCTGGGGGCGGAGCTTCAAACAACAACTGTCAAACGAGAGAGAGTAAGAGAGAATTCGCATCAACTTACTCCCTAGGAACTTGAATAAAGCGAAACGGCGCGTTCCGCCACAGCTTTGGAATGAGTCGCCGCTACAGGGGCTCGTACAATCGCTTTCACGAGCCCGTTGCGTGCCGTCGGCAAGGTTGTTGCCACACCAGCAATCCGTGCCATCCTCTACGGCGGCATAGGTATACCCGCCATAAGCACAATCCCTGAGGCACTTGTCCTGTGTCTGCTGTAGAGACGTGTATATCTTGGTCAAGGCTCTTCCTCCCTCTGGCTCCGTATAGCAACCGTCATATGTATACGTGACTATTCTCGGTTGTCCTGGAGAAGCGGCTTGTTGCACCTGGTAAATATTAATCATGCCATCACCGCCACAAACCTGGTTCCTATTGCCGGCACACTGGACATCACAACCAGTCATGTCTGCCGGGATAGCTCCGTTTTGGATCGCGTTGCCACAATAACATTGACGGCCATTTTCGACCCCAAAATATGAGTATCCAAAACAGCGAAATTGACATCTGTCGATGGTTAGACGCCTGTCGATGTGCGGCACCGATAGAGCACTGCCATTCACTCCTTCGAACCAGCATCCTAAAGATCCCACCGTGGTCGGACGAGCACCGATCGTGACGGTGACTGTTGCGGTAGCAGCTTGTACTGCTGCTCGAGGTTGGATACCATGTTTGAGACTACAGAACTATAAGCAGGGTTATGAGTCGGGCTAAGGTCGACTTGCTCACAGGTGATTAGGTTCGATGACCGTCACAAATTTGCTAGGTGTAGTAGCTGTAGCGGATAAACAAGGTGAGCTTGCAGCATCCCCCGTTGACGGAATCCTGTTATCACCGTCGATGGAATTTGGCGCGAAATTTGCGGCAGTGACACTGCAAACCGTCCCTAGTAGTGCCAAAAGGCCATATGAGTACATGTTTATCGAATGCAGAACACTCCAACAGAAAGGAAAAGACCGAAAAGCTCGCGTGGCCAGGATGGAGTGCTAAGAAGAAGACAATGTCTTATACATTAGACTACCAAGTTGCATATTTCGTTGCGATTGGCGACCGTTTAGACTTTGATGTAAGTATCAAATGTGGCTATCATTTACCCAGTTTTAGGAGGCATTGTGGAAGCTTCTACTTTTTCGTCCATGTGAATCTAAAGCATGCATTCATTGAGTTAGGTGTCCGAGATAACGGTGAAGCCTCGCCATCTAACTTCAACGCCACACCAAGCTGACAATCTTTTGAAGACCATAATTACGTTATTCATAGCCTGGTGTTCATATAACTTTGAGAGAATGAAGTCACGACTCCCTTGAAGTCACCTTTTTGACATTCCTGAAATGCATGCTTTGGAGCCAAATTATGAACAAACCCTAATCAGAACCGTTTCCCCCAGCGCGTTTAGCCAACGGGGCGGTTGGTTCTCAAAGCAAGCCAGAACTCAAATTTCATTTGTACAGCGAAGTCTCCTGTTCATATAATGCCTGGCATGAGTTACTGGACTACCTAGTTCTCGGTTATTGTCTTGATGCCATCGGTGGTCTGATGACCAGTTAATTTGACCTTTGCTACAGCCTCGAATTGAACTTAAAACTTAACACAAATTCCCAGGCATATAAACTCTCACCAAGCCCAATGCCGATGAGATGCAAAAGTTACCATAAGATTCGTGACCATCGTACAAAAAGGAGAAAATATTCCGGTACACCAACCAGTCAGAGCGCCAATGGGATTCATACCTACGGAAAATGATCTAGAAATTGGTGTGATAGCTGCATATCAAAACCATGTGAGCGACCATCCCATTCTATTTTTTGTAGGACACTGGTATGATGGCATTACATTATGACAAACTTACGGAGCGGGCTCGCCCAAGGCACCTTGGCACACTTTTCAGGTGGAGCCACTTTGGGTGAACAGAAATCTCAGCTATCATATAAATTCTATTGCCTAGATCGTGATAATCCTCTAATTAGTATATTGTAGGTATCATATGTTCTGTCTAAATATCCTCCTATGACTGCGGTAACTCATGGTAGCCGTTCACCGTCGCCAGCTCTGAACGATGCTCCACCGACAAATATTTTGCATTCGGCTCTTCCATCAGCACCGGCATTTCCTGAGCAGGTATAGCCAATTGATTTTCCGAGTTGAGCTCTGATGGTCCCTTCTGTACATCATGTCCAGATGGATGCGTCTCCAGCTCCGATAGCATACGCCGTTTGGCACGGCGCCGACGCAATAAATAAATTCCGCCAGCCAGAGCCGCCAGAGCAACACCGCCAACCACGCCACCGACTATCGGGCCAACAGGGGTAGATTTTGAAGGCGGCTTTGTTTCTTGTGGCGTTGCTGATTCAGTGGAAGCAGCTGAAGGTTTATTAATATCACTAAGTACGGCAGTAGAGCACGCAAAAGCGGGGATGCTCACCATTGTAAAACATGCTCTTCACCTGTTCATTACTCCAGGGAACAGAGCTAAGGTCATTGTTGCTGTACCAACTCTTTATATCAGTTGCCGAGTCATATACTGGTGCGGCTGGATCATATTCGTTTGTCCAAATGAGCGCCGACATGTCGAACACGCCTAAACCTTGCGGCCATGGATCCTGATTAGCGTCATTAAGATCCCCTGGCCCTGGATCATCGGTCTTCTGGTGACCACCGACGGAGATCATGTGTCTATTACCGGCTACGGCACACCTTTGGTCAAGGCGAGGGGTGTTGTCGGTAGATGGAAGGAACCATTGGAACGCTGGAATAGATAGAACATGAACATCGCTCAAGACCTTCTTGGATTGGGTCATCCCGCCATATACGAAGCTGTGAATAGTACTTGTCAGAAAGGGATTGCCATATATGCCGAAGTCTAGCACCAGACACAGAACTCACACTTCATAAGTACCGTTCGTTCCAGAGGCTCCGACTGCGCAGAATCTCTTTCTCGGCTCAGGAATATCGCCTCTCGCCGTTTGCCAAAACCACTCCTTTGTACTTGGATCGTAGAACGTGATATTGTCAAAAGATGGATATTCTGATTCGTTCTTATATGCGAATTCCGTCCGAGCACCCCCAAGAAAACTTACCAATCCTTGAGCCCCGAAGGGCAGGCATACAGCTTGACCTTGCTTATGTGGGGAGTAGGGCGCAGGCGCAGTCACATTCTCCCACGTACCAGACTCGATGTCATAAATGAGCATCCCAGGTAGCGCGATGCCGTTGCTGAACGCCTGCTCCGTCCAACCCGTTCTAAAGCCACCTAGGTTAAATCCCCGCCCGGCGCAAACAACTGAGGTGCCAGAGGTTGCGGGATGAATACCGTCGCCAGGTTCACGGTTTGCTATCCACGAGCCATTTCCTCTTCCGTCTGGCGTGAATCTCCAAAGGTGAACACTCGATGGTGCACTGCCGAAGCCCTCGCCACCCCATGCATACATCACCCCCGAGTTCGTGTCTGGCCACAAGGCTGGGTTTTTGGTTATTGGCGTGGACCCTTTAGGGATGGCGTTGATGGAGATATTTGAGGGGGTCCATGGAATGTCCAGAGCAAGGGATAGTGTGCTGTTGTCTGATCATTGCAAATAGTTAGCAGAAGTGGCTTGAGATTCTACTTTTTTAATGTTGGCAGTCTGAATCTTCAGAAATTGGAATGGTAATACGAACTTTGCCGAGCGCCATCGGCTACGCCATCCACGTATTGAGCGACTTCTCCGCCGTCGATATATAGGTAGTTGCCTAATGTAGCTACTGCATATTTATTCCCATTAGCCATGAACGTGATCTACAGACTAATAGATGTCGCACCTGACTGCAACGATCGCCGACGAAAGTTCTGAGCTGACGGAGCATCAGGTAGACAATGGCAATGCTGAATGCAGATTCCCAACACTACCAGCGATACTTTGGAGATTGGTTGAACCTTCCACAATCTCATCGTGGATGCAGGGCAGGCCAGCAGGCGAGTCGGAGCGTGCAATGACGAACAATTGTTGGAAAGAGTGTATGTTGTGTGAAATCACTTGGGTTGAGGCGGACGTCTGGCACTTAGATCCATCTGAGACCATTAACTCCAAGGTGGCAAACCGTGTTTTAAGCCTCAGGAGGAGCGAGCGCCCGACATAATTAGCCCCCTATGTGTCGTGAATGCGCCTCATGTTTTGTCCAATCATCATACTAAGTTGGCACTCATAGGAGAGGTACTCAGGTACTACGGCAGATTCTGCGAAAAGCATCCAGGCCACATCATGCAAATCCATCTAGAAATGCCTGATTTGATAGGCACGTTGCCGGTACTTTAATAACTCAATCGCTCTACTGGATCGTACCAGTGGGAGGATCATCTTTGCAGGGCTGGGCGTTGAGCCGTTGGCATCAGCCACCTTCCGCAGGCTGGCCAATCACAACGCTCCGTTTACGTTACCCAAATGCACCTAGTTCTCAAATACACCACACCCGCTTTCCACTTCTGGGAATCTCGGACTTTGCGACTTGGCCCTGCTTCCGAGGGCCCACCCTTTTGATGCTTTCTCCGATTCGAAACTTCCTTGACGATCAGATCATATATATGGGAAATGCCGGTATGTGCTTTGAGTGTGTTGGTGCTCGCAAGTGCGTCTTCCTTTCCCTATAAATTCTCGATAGCGAGTTGTGTCTTGGTGACTTTTACTGGCTCCTCACACTCGCACAAGGCGAATTCATGCTCAACTCGGAGCCGAACTGGTTGTCTGGCTGGTAAGAAGAGACCTCTCCGACGTGATGAGACGAGGCTGTTCTGGTTCATAATACTCCTTTGCAAAGGCAACTGATATAAACTAAAGTACAATATATATATAGACTTGTCTTCAATCAATGCGCACCATAACTTACAAGCCTCGCCGGAACTGGAGCTGTCATTGTGCTTTCATTCTGCTAACTCTGTTCATACCACGTTGAATGAGGTAGGCATCGCTCTACCAAGCTGTACTTTCTTACATTTCACGTTGTACAAAAATCAAGTAAGATCAAGATAGTGGAGAGGGAGTGAGAGCTTCGGGCTGCAAGAAGCGACCTTTTTGTAAGGATCTTTTCGGTGCTGAGAGGGCGGGGTTCTATAATTTGAAGAAATCCGTGTGGCCCTGGGCATGGCCTTAAAGGAGCCTTTTTGCGTTGTGGATTGTGAAACTGAAGTGTGGTGTATGGCTTAACTAACAGGACTTACATACCAGTACCACCTGTCTGCAGCTCGTAGTCACGTTCTCTTCATAGCCATCAGGGACCTGAGACTGATTGTTGTGGAAGCCTCTTCACTGC